GTATTATGATTTATCTGCTGAAGCAAAATCGACAAATAATACAGAAAGTAATGGTCTATCGATTGGTCCTCTTTATATTGCACCGCAACAAGTATGTATAATTTTATATCAAAAAAGAATTAAACTGAATATACTTAAAGATGACATGACACTAAATTTCATAAAATAATCATTTTATTGAAAAGATTGTGATTTATTTAAGATTGGAATTGGTATCATGGTTGAATTATTCTCATTAGTTCCAAGTATTTTCATAGTTCAATTTTTTCGACGTATTCGACCTCGTCAACAAATTTCACCATTACGTCAAGCATTAGAGAAAATACGATCATTACCACCCACGTTAGTATAACTTAATATATTGTCTTTGATTTAATCATTTTATATTTTTAGTGATTCAAAAGATAAAAATCCAAATAAAAATAAAAAAAAACAATTTACATTTCCTTGGTGGTGTTTATTTATTGCTTATACATTTTCTTTTATGATAATTGCTGTTTCAATGTTTTTTATTATTGTTAAAGGAATTATATTTGGTGATTTAAAAACTCAACAATGGTTAACATCTGTTCTTACTGGCTTTTTCTCGTCAGTTATTCTTACTCAACCAATTAAAGTATATATTGAAATATTTCATTTACTTCAATGAATTTTCTTTTGCTTAAAGATTTTAGGTTTGGCAGTATTTTTTACTCTATTTTGTCGAAATCCAAATGATGATAAAGAAGCAAAAGAATATATAGATGAGACTAATTTTGAATTAGATGGTGATGAAGATTATCTTCATTCGAATGATTTTTCATTGATTTCAAATTCTTCAAAACGTATTACTCGTCTAAATGAAAATGAAGTAGCTTTTCTTCGTGAACAACGTTTAAAAGAACTTCAAATGTGGTCAATTATTCGAGAATTTCTAATTTATGCCATATTTTTAACATTACTTTGTATAATCAGTTTTTCAAATCATACACAAAATAGTTTTTATCAAACTGATCATTTACAAAAATATTTTTTAAATACAAGACAAACA